ATATTATGGGCCCCAAGGAAATGAGCAGAAGTAAACCCAATAAGGGTCCCAGCAAAGGGAGGAGATAAGGGAGGAAACCATTGAGGCCAGTCCAGAGGGGATTTGGGGAGAATTCTTGTTGTTGTCTGTTTAGATCTTCCTGAAGTTCACGAATTTTTCCCCTGACGATCTCAGATTTATTGGCATAGAAACAACAATGTTCATTTAGGGCTATGCAAATCCCTCCTTGTTTTGCCGTGAGGAGGTCCAGGCCCCTTCTATTTTGAAGGACCACCTCAGCCAGAGAATCGATCTGATCTTGTATATCTATAAGAGTGTTGGAGAGAGCTTGAACATCATTAATCAACTGGTTGGATAATTTGGCATAGGAGTGTAACGCCACCTCGACGCCAGCAGAGCCAGTGGCAAGGGCACCGGACACCCCTAGCCCCACGAGCAAGGGGACCAGTGAGACGGCCCTTTTATTTCACCCAGCGATATAGTCAAAGCTGGGCAAGGGCACTGGCTCATCTCCAGGAATAAGGGAGATGTCCAGGAGGACAGTCGCCACCACGCACAGCCCAGTCCAATTAGTGGGGAGGGAGGTGAATGCCAAGCTCCCTCCACAGACGAGCACGTGACCCGGGGCAGGGCAAATGGCGGCAGGGCCATTAAGCGCTACCGAGCAGAGAGAGAAATTTTGGACTCCAACACGTATATCGAAGCTATTGTTGTGGCCCGAATTTAGATAACAAACTGAGGCATTGAACTGTACTGGCTGGACCCTGAAGGGCAGAGAAAAACTGCAATTGTAACTAGAAATGTTGGTATAGTCAGTTTGGTCGACAACTGGCAAGGCGAGGGGCAGGGGTGTGTCAAGGGTCAAGCATAGCCAACAATCTGTAGCAAAGGCTGGGTTGGATGTATTGATCAAATGATAAGTGGCCTCTAGGACACTCAGGGTTTGGGAGTCAGGGTCTGGGCCTCGAGGTTTGGGAAGGGCCAGTGGATGATAATTTAGGGAGGGGTACATCTCTTGGATGATAGTCTCCAGTTGTTTTGTATTTGTTCTTTCCTGAGCTGATCTGAAGGCCCGCCACCATCAGATACATGAATTGGGGCCTGTGGCGGCCAGCAGACATCTTTGCCGGGACTGCCGTTGTAGGAGGGTTGGCCAAATTTAGGATATCCAGTGGGGCTGGAAAAGTCCCAGTCACCTCTGATGGAGCCCCTGTAAGTTTTTTGTAGAACAGCAGTTAGATATATTTCTCCATCAGAATGTGTACATTGTTGGGCTTCAGTGTAACAGGTAGAATGCATCTCTGTGGCCTTGGCACAATTGGCAGGGCATGGCCCTGGTTTGCCATTGACTGTTGGTATGACTTTAGGCTTAGGGACGCAATCCCATTTTTGGTTATATCCTTCAGCTAGCTCGGCCTCATAAACTAAGTAGGCAATCTTGTCGCCGCAATCAGTACTAGGAGTGTAGCTTGTGGGTGTAGCCCTGCCAGAACCCCCAGCACAGTCACAGGGGTTACCATACAGGGCAATGAGCAATTGTTGTTTAACTGGTTGAAATCCACTTTTTGTTGTTGGTGCCAGGAACAGCAACAGACCATGTAACAGATTCAGGGATGTCATCTTTTTAACCTGTAAGCAAAATTTCGTCCTGCGATGTAAACAAGGCTGGGCTGTAGATAAGAGAGTTAGGCTAACCTGATTAAGCTTTTGAAGATAACCAATGTGGACATACTACAATAACATATTCAGAACTTAACCAATATAAACATTTTATAACAACATATTCAGTGCTTAAATATCAAGGACAACCAATACAATCAATTTATAACATATTTAGATAATATTCATTGTGATATGTCTCCCATAAGATTATATAATATAAAATTTACTAGGGGGTCC